GCCAAACCGGTTTCGGCAATAAGATACATTTTTTAAAAAATAAAAATAAAAGAGAAGGAACTTAAAAAAAAAAAAAAGCTATAGACAAGGCTTCAGATTCAAAATCCTTTTTATTTATCATCCACGGTTGTACGTTCTGCATTCTTTTTCATGGCAAACATCCAAGCATTTCCACTCTATCATGGATTCAATGAAAAGTTTCAGCTAGTTTGGGAACCTAACCATTAAAAAGTCCCCTGCCCCCTTCCCCTCCCTCTCCCTACACAGAACTCTGCGCTCTGCAGCTGCCTGGGTGCCAGGAAGGCCCCGTGGACGGGTCCCAAGGGTTTGCTGCTCAAAGAGGTTTTGCAAACGCCAACGCTCAATGCACGAATCCGTAATGGTATTCCTGGTGTGAGTGAGGCTGCGGCCGTACTTGGAAGGATCCTGTAACAGTAGACTCCACTGCGTTTCTTTATCGGAGCAGGAATCGGCGTGTAGCTTTTAGATCGGATTTCTAGAATTCTCCATTCTTTTTTGTTGCTGCCTTTTTTTTTTTTTTTGGTTAATCCTCATCTGAGGATATTTTCCCATTGATTTTTAGAGAGGGTGGAAGAGAGGGGGAGAGACTGAGAGAAAAATCGATGTGAGAGAGATACATTGATTGGTTGCAAACCTGCAACTGAGGTACATGCTTGACCTGAATCGAACCCAGGACCCGTCCGTCTGAGGGTTGATGCTCTAACCACTGAGAAAACCGGCCAGGGCTGGAATTCTCCATTCTTAAGGAGCAGTTTCCAGAATAACCAGGGTTCTCCCTGATTGGCCGTCCTGAGGATGGGCTGGGGGAGGGAGGGAATGAAGGCTCATGCTGACCAGCAGACGGTGGAGGGAGCCCAGAATCTTTGAGAAGCCAGTCCTTTTGGGGGCGAATATGCTCTAACCACTGAGAAACCCAGCCAGGGCTGGAATTCTCCATTCTTACGGAGCAGTTTCCAGAATAACCAGGGTTCTCCCTGATTGGCCGTCCTGAGGATGGGCTGGGGGAGGGAGGGAATGAAGGCTCATGCTGACCAGCAGACGGTGGAGGGAGCCCAGAATCTTTGAGAAGCCAGTCCTTTTGGGGGCGAATCCTGGGGACCAGACGCCTCTGGGACAGAGAGCTCCGTCCTCTACAAAACCTTAGGCCAGTGGTTCTCAACCTTCTGGCCCTTTAAATACAGTTCCTCATGTTGGGACCCCACCATAACATTATTTTCGTGGCTACTTCATCACTGTCATGTTGCTACTGTGATGAATCGTCATGTCAATATCTGATAGGCAGGATGGTCTCAGGCGACCCCTGTGAAAGGGTCGTTCGACCGCCAAAGGGGTCGCGACCCACAGGTTGAGAACCGCCGCCTTGGGTTGTTATACAACAGGCTGTAATTAATATCACCCAGGCTGGGAGAGACATCCCATCATGCTAATGAAAAATGAAAGCCACCTGGGCCAGCGCCCAGAGCCTGCAGACACGTGCCAGGCCAGGAGCCACCAGCAGAGGGCGCTCACGGGGACCTGAGGTGCCCCATGCCAATCATTGCCCATGGTGCCAGCCACCTGTAGGAGAATGCAGCCCTGGCCCACCAGGTCCTGTTCAGCCAGAGCAGGGCAGGTACCTGGAGTCCTGCTGCCCCAGACTATGTGAGCCTTTCAGAGGGGAGGCCTGGGAGGGTTGGGGGCAGGGGGTGCTGCAGAGCAGGGAGGCTCAGCCAGGACTTTCCCTGCCTCACAGAATTGCTGCAGTGGGATTCAATAAGAGAACATGTATGAACCACACATGACAGGCACTTGTAATCAATGTTTGCAATGGCGATAATGCTGCTGCTGCTGAACTAATTCCTCCTTTGTAGCCCCGCCTCTTCACCCAACCCAAACATTTCTACCCTTCACAGCTACTCCTCCTCCGAGAAGCCCTCCAGGATCACTTCGGGCCAGTGGTTTACAAATTGGGGGCCCTTCCGAATCACCTAGGAAGGTGAGAAGTTTGTTTGTTTGTTCTTGTTGTTGTTGTTTGAATGTTCTTATTGATTTCAGAGAGAGGAAGGGAGAGGGAGAGATAGAAACATCAATGATGAGAGAGAATCATCGATTGGCTGCCTCCTGCATGCCCCCTATTGGGGATCGAGCCCACAACTGGGGCATGTGCCCTGACGGGGAATTGAACCGGTGACCTCTTGGTTCCTGGGCCAACACTCAACCACTGGGCACAACACTGGCTGGGTTTGAATCTCTTTCAATTATCTTTTGTACTTGGCATAAAGGTTCAATGTTATTCTTTTGCAGGTGGATAGCCACTTTTCCCAGCACCATTTATGGACGAGATCGCCCCTTTTCCCATCGAGTGGCCTTGGCACTCTTGGGGAAGATCATTTGATCATATATGGCTATTTAGGGTCCCCTAACTTGAATGACAATATAGACTAATTGCTCTGGCTAGAACCTCCAGTACTATGGTGACTAACCGTGGCAGGAGTGGGCATTCTTGTCATGTTCCTGGTTTTTGGGAGCTTTCAGTCTTTCCCCATTGATTGAAGTGTTATAAAATTGTTATAAATACAGGCTTGTTATAAATACACTAGGGGCCCTCTCGCAATCCGGGACCCCTTGGGGGATGTCAGACTGCCAGCTTCGGCCCAATTCCCGGCAGGCCAGGCCGAGGGACCCCACCGGTGCACAAATTGGCGCACCGGGCCTCTAGTATGTATATAAGATCTTTGGTTAATATCTCCCTGCCCTCCACCCTCCCCCCTTCCCTCTGAGATTCATCAGTCTGTTGCATGTTTCCATGCCTGTGTGTTGAGCGTCTGCCCCCTGGTGGTCAGTGTGAGTCATAGCTACTGGTCAGACGGTCAGATGTTTGCTTAAGCTTTTATATATAGAGATAGCCTTTATTATAGTAATACCCCCATACACACACACCACAACCTCAATCCACAATTTCACTTTCCAAGGTTTCAGGTACCCACGGTCAACTGTGATCTGAAAATACTAAATTGAAAATTCCAGAAATAAATAATTCATCCGTTTGAGATTGTACCCTTTCTGAGTAGTGATGAGATCTCACGTGACCTGCTCATTCCCGCCTGAGAGATGTGCAGCATTCCTCCCTCCACGCGTAAGGCTCTGCCCTGTAGTCACGTGCTGTCTTGGTTACCACACCTGATCACAGGGCTGGTGTTTGCATGACTTGTTTCACTTATAAGGGCCGCACAGCGCAGGAGCAGTGATGCCGGCCATTCGGATATGCCCCACAGAGAAACCGGAAGTGTATGTATGTGTAGGAGAAAGCATAGTATAGACGTAGGTTCCGTACTATCCCTGGTTTCAGGCATTGACTGGTGGTCTTGGAACATATCCCCTTTGCATAAGGGGTAACTAATGTATATTGAGATAGTTTCCTTTTATTCTGAGTTTGTTGTGTTGCTGTTTTGTGTGGTTTTTTTTTATCATAAAACTGTTGAATTTTGCCAAAAGCTTTTTCTGCATCAGCTGAGATGATTGTGTGGTTTTTGCCCTTCATTCTGTTCATGGGGAGTATGTATTACGTTGACTGATT